TTGTGTATGTGCAATTCATGGTTGTACGTGGGCTGGGATACTGCCAGGGCGCCCATACCTAGACAGGAGGACGATTAGGGTCCTCAACCAAAGCCTTTGACTCCAAAGCCTAACCGCAAGGCAGCGGTGTTTGGCGGGAAATGCAAATCCATTACCATTTCTACGGAACAAGTCGCCACATGTTCCAACCCCCAACCTGGAGGGCCAGAAGACTGTGTTCGTCAGACCTCTAACCATTGACCAACCTGGTCAACAGAGACTGTGAGTGTGGACACACACTCTCCAGTATAGCTCAATGGATCGCTGAGGTGCGCAAACACCACGTCACACCACGGTAAGGTCCAGTCTCTTCGTGGTTGTTCTGGCACGGTAAGGTCCAGTCTCTTCGTGATCTGTTGTTCTGGAATTTGGTTTTGTTCGACTTCTCTGACCAGGTTGGCGATCACTTGTTTGTCAGTGGTGCGCAAACTGGGTTGAATACCTAGTGTATTGCTGTCACCTCATGTGCTTGACATCTACTGTACGCAGCCACGACGGAAAAATTGCGACAGTCAAACGCTTTTTTCTAAAATTGTTGTGACGGTTGATGGGAGCTTAATTACACCAACAATACTGACGGCAACGCCAGCCTAAGCACAGGAACGCTTGCGAACAGAAAGCGGATACACCAGAGAGGATTGGAAACCAATTAAAAAAGCTTAATACTCAGGAAATCTACCCTCTCAACTGTTCTAGCTACAACGCGAAAAATTACAAAATACCTGATATGACATAACATGCCCTGAAGCACACACGGAGCACTCTACTCCTAATTCCTTGGGCGAATCAACAGCTATTAGCGGTTACTTTCCTCTTCTGGCTACTCATGAGTAGCGTGATTTACGCCTGTTTGTTATAACGTCGCCGCTCGTTTTCCGGGTTTTCGCTTCCACTAAGGTATACTTACTTTCTAGTTAGCAATCCCACGATCTTGTTGTCTGCCCATCTTCACTTACGACTTCTTATCAACTCCACTTATGTGTGAGTGTCTACTCCGAAGGAAAAGCGAGTCGACAGGATATCGAACACTGAACCGAACCCCCAGATGGAGTTGGTTGGCACACTATCCGCTGCGCCAACTCGAATTCACCGGTGGTCCCATATGTCGTTACCTTTGTATCGGACCTACCCGATGGTCTCTGTTGAGATTTTGTTTCAAACAGGCCCAAGCGCGAATTCCCATTTGAAACGTGACATGAGCTGCTGCGTCGCGCCGTCAGCTAAAGACTGCAGGTACATTTAATTTGTGCCAAACTCACCCGATACCCGTTTTCCACACACTTTTCCTTGCCTCCTGAACGCAACCGCGTTCCTGAAGGCTAAGTCACCGCCTTACTTACTTACTTAACTTAATTTAACCGATTGCAACATGAAGGAATAATTCAAACTACGGAGTTTTCGGAATTGGCTACACCAACTGTACCAAAACTGAAACCGGATGGCGCAGTTAGAATCTGCGGTGACCATAAAATCACAGTCAATGCTAGCACATCCGCAGAACCTTACCCACTACCTAATATATGAGATGTTTACGAACGAATTAGTAGGAGCAAAATTTTTCAAAACTGGATTTAGCTCATGCTTGTGAGCAATTAGAACCAACGGAGGAAACGAAACCCATTACAATCATCAGTACTCATAGAGGACCGTTTATATTTAATCACCTTCCTTTTAAGAAGCTGCATTATCGTCGTCTTCTAACAGCACATTGATGAGGCTGCGTTTTTTACGTCACATGTCCACGCACCTATTCTTCTTCATCTGCACACTGAAGTTCGACGTTAAAACCCGCACCACTCCGTATTGTGCGAGGTCGGGCGGTTTTATCTGCCTGCTACATGATTGAACTCTGCCGATGTAGTGACGTTAACCGCCAAATCCGGTTGTAGCAAACCCAAACGTGTTCGAATTCTCCTTCGCATGTGGAATACACAGGGCGACTGGCCTGTAGTACTAGTGTGTGGCGTAAATCTCTATTCCAGTAAAAACCTGTTCAGTCTTGTTCGTAGAGGACCTGGACATACGCATCTTTTAGCGTTGCCGCCGAGCATTCACCTAGGCCGCTATAATCGGGATGGTGAGGTGCCCTCAAAACGTGTTCTATCCTGTTGGTTTTCAAAAACAGTGGAAATTCTTCACTGGTGAATGCTGTGTCGTATTCGGGAACAACTCTAGAAGGTACACCATGCGATGCAAAAGTGCTGCGTAGACCAGACATGGTAGACCCACTAAAGACGGTTCTCGTGGGCACTGATTCTGTCCAATCGGAATACGCATCGACTATCATAAGGATCATATAGCTACCAACAGGTTCACAATAGCCCACGCGTATCCTGTATACAAATGTACGACCCTATTCTGAACTGAGCCGAGGAACAGTAAGTGCACCGGCCATATGTCCATGACGGAAATGAATTCGACGGCTATGCAGTTCCAAGGGACTGGTGCTCAGGAAGGAAGATGTGAGGATGCAAGATCGCGAAGGAGCAATGCTCAAGATAACCGATATTTGATTAGGCCACTGATGCTCCAACAACTCGATCCAGCAGCGGAGCTTGTCGAATTATCTGCACATCTGAGCAAGTGTGGAAACTCGCAAACCCCAGTTAGTGACGATACGTAGACAGCAACATTGTCGAGCAAAACGAACAACTCGGCCACCACATCGAAGCTCAGCTCGAGCCAGTGCTCACAGGAACAAAAAGGAAGACTTAATACTTGGCCACGTATCCGGACACGTTGTTCACTATACTTTATCTGCTAGGTGCTACGAAATAAACCCTATTATCTATGTTCAGCTAGGCGAAATAGCGCAAAAATGCAGAACTATCGGATGAAGAATACAGTGAACTTGGTTTGTTCTGCTTCGGGCCCCGTAATTAAGAAGTGCAGTGTCTGGGGCAGCAAGTTCGCGAAGGACTTCAAAGAAGGAGCAAACAGAATCAAACGATCAGCCATAAGCTCAAATCAGCAGAGTCTCAGTGGCGTTCTTGTTGTCAGTTTCTATCCAGATTGCCTGAGTGAATGTCTGGAGGTGTATGCACCTCGGAATGATTGTGGTAAGCTAGCACTAAGTCCCTTCCCCGTCCACCCTTATTCTTTTCTTTACAATAAGGCTATCAAATAAATCATAGTTGTACGGCAGTGAAGCATCAGTGAACACTGATGTCATGCTGTCGATGATGATGATGAATTCACAGAAAACAGATGATTATAGTAAGCAAACAGGACAGAAGACACAGGCACCGAGCGAAACTGTATTTCAAGTAAAATCGAAAATAATCGGAGTGCAGAGGGGAGAGGACGATGGGGATGGGAAAGATTAATCGGTAATCATATTGTCAACGTTCTGGTCCAACCGCAGCCGGAATGACAAAGTTCTCGGCGTGGTCGAGTCACTGATGCTTAACAACTGACCATCATGTAGATCTAATTCTAAGGGAAGGAAGAATAGGATCAATAAGGATGTCCGACTCGAGAGCAAAAGGGAGATGAGCATGATGATAACGCACCAAAATGTGCGGTCATAAACACCACATGGTGACAAAAAAATATGAGAACTGTGTATGAGTGACATACATCGGATAGAAGGAAGTCTACGACAGAACGGATGCTTACCTGCCAATGTTTTTGATAAATTTGGTCTCAGGGCCGATTCGAAATCGGGGAGATCAATGAACAGCGATTTGTTTGTGCCGTTGGCAACTGTGGTCACACTGGGAGATCGCATTTGGCTGGCACATAACGAGGGAGAAAAGACCACGTATGTATATGGAGGGATGTGTGCAGTGTCTGCGACACTGACGTCGTGTTAGATTCTGTGACATTTAAATGAATCACTTAATCCACAGTCTTTTGCGAAGCCAATTCTGATTTCTAATCCAAGGCAATAAAACCCTGTGTTTTAAAAACTTTTGACGATTGACGGATTAAACTTTTCAGAGAATTATCTGAGTAGGTAACAGAATGAAAAGAGATCACGATTATCCAGGAGAAGCCACCGATCGGGCAGACGAACTCTTGGTCGGGAACACAATGTTCAGCCATCCTGACTTGGGGTCCGACGCTGTATTGACTGAAATGCCAGCAGCTCCCTAACTTGGGTGGCACCCGTCCAACTTTGTTTATCTCATTAACTTGGTTGGCACCCGTCCAACTTTGGTTTATCTCATCAACTCGGTGCTGTTTCACCACTTTCAAGGCCATATCATTCTACTATTTGGAGTTGAGAGTCCGATACTTATCACTGATGGAGTTACAAGCAGGGGCGATAGGACTGGTCACATGCATGACTCATCTACACTCACTGCATTCTAATATTTCATGCTCCTCAAGTGAGTCCCGACTGTTGACACTTATCCGTACTAACCGTACTGCATGGTCAACTTAAGTGGGCAGGAAGGTGGTGAAACGCCTTGACTGCGCATATATGCTACTGAGGTAAATATCAGTAGCTCAATATCAAATCACAAAGACTATTCCACGCCGTTGGCGTCATTTGGCAGCTGGCGAAAGTTCGACGCTTGCTGTATGTAACACACCGATACCGGGCTGAATCGTCCCAACTAAAACATTATGACAACAAAATCGACACCTAAGTTACCGTAAAAAATCGACTTACTACTGGGTGCTTGTTTTGAGAAATTCCACCAGGTCTCGAAGAGTATCCTTCGAGGTGAAGTGGAGATCTTTCGGGACGTTGTTACATGCCATACAGTCTGCCTGAAAAGCGAAGTTAAAACGCGTACAATTGCACGGATTGGCGAGTGCGAATGACTTCATTCTGTGTGGAAGTATTAACGGAAGATACAAGCAGTTACACAAAAAAACACGTGAATTTAGTGCTTAATAATCATTCGAGTTGTGGGTCTAAGTCTTGTGAGCTAAGATCATAGTTTCTTTTACCACCGACCTGTTGGAAACCCGTCTATAGTGGTTCCGATGCATCCCACGTAATGATGATGGACGGTCACGTGTAAGCACATACTGTACCTGTGCATCGTTTCACGTGAGATTAATTGTCAATACGCCATAGTTTTCTTAAGAGACCCTTCTGAAGACAGACCATTGTGGCAGAATGCCTCTGTCGGACAGGATCCAGGGTGAGTTCCCTCCTCTAAACATTCATCAAAGCAGTCCAGATACAAAATGCCCGTAAGGCGGCTAGCATTTATTTGTTTCAGCGTCTTCCAGGAAGACTACCATTTCTGGAGGCAGACCACACCAATACATGCAGATTTTCTTAACCTGGTTCATTCCCCTGAGTTATGTCATATGTCACCCACATCTTGGTGGGTGAATTTGAAATCCACGGCGATGCTATTCTCGGTAAAACATAATTCCGCATGCAAAGCACATGGATGAGCCACCGCGGCTTGTGCTGCTGTACGTATTTGGAGAAGAGGTCCCTGGTGCCTTACCACACAATTTTGGTGGGGAGGGGGCGAGATGGCTCAGTGGTTAGAGCGGGAATATACTGACAGGAAGGTTCGTGGTTCGAGCCCGACCTCTGCCTCTCGGCTCCTCTTGTCTGGGCTTGGGCAGTATCCCAGCCCTCGTGCTTTCTTCGAGTGACGTGGCAGCTGAGCACCGAAAAGATGCTACAGCTGAACGATTATTACATACCTGTTTCCTGGTGACGGAAAAAACCAACAAATCATATAGAGCACCAGCATCATAAGCACAATCATCACTAACAACATTGGCATCATCATATCTCTTGAATTGCTCCTAAGTGACGTTTTACCTCGGTAAGTCAAGCTTGATAAGAAGTACCAAGTAACTGTTCCAGTCCATCACCGATGCTCATCTCGCAATTCTTGGGTTATTCTCAACCGTAATTCTTCAATTAGTATGCGGAGAATACACTGTTCGGCCACGAGTGATTTATCAGCCGCTCATGATCGGACGGTGTAGTCTTCAAGTACTAATCAACATGCAAGTCGCTGGTTCGAATCTACCCAAAGATTCGTGAGGCACACACAGCTGGTGGTCCCCAACATAGGTAAAACAGTTTTCCGCTTTTCAGCATAGACTGACTTCACTTGAGGAATGAAATGTATTTTGAAAATGTCCAAATCCCACGCTATGATGGATGTGCTAACTCGATGGTTGTCAGCGACAAAGACCACAGGTTTTCAGGATTATGTGTTGACTACTACGCACGTTTGTCAAGTTGCACCAATAAGCCTCAGTCGTTGACGAACAAGACAAGTTTCAATGAATTGCAGTGCGTCATATACCGGTCGATCGACTTCCTCGAGGTTTTTTTTTCGCACAATCACGTGAAGGGCGGAATCCAGCCAGGGGAGGTCAATGATTTGGTGGCGAAATATGAAAGCCATTACCTGAAAACTCAGCTACGCTGGTCATCGTTGTCTTCCTGGATGGGGACCCCGACATGGGACACATAAATGGTTAGAGAATTGTTAGACATGGCCCAGTTGCGCTTGTGCATTCAAGCTATTGCCTTCAATGCATAGCTCCCTGTTCAATCTCCCCACTTAAAAGTAGACTGATAACCCTGTAGTTACACATCAATTGTGCCACCTCCAGCCTCCAGTGCGCAGTTACCTACCCCGATTCACCAAATTATCGGTGAACGAAACTGTGGCAGCTGTAACCACTGTACGACAAGCACGCGGTTCTCACAGCTGATAATAATTATTTTATTGTCCCCCAAAAGTGCTGCCTCGAGAGAGGGACCACTATTCTAACGAAGAATTCGGCTCGAATCCTGAAAAAATATAACATTTACGAATTAGATCACGTGCCGGGAAAGGGCTCCCTTGAACAGTCAAACACCAAGCCGGCTGGTCGATAAGAACGGAGGATCGGTTGAGATTGAAATGTCTTGTGTCTTCCTTACTTCGACACCGACTGGTTACAATATTGACCAATTAACCAGTCGCCAAACAATAGACCCTCATCAACATCCATTTGTTCATGACTGGTATCTTATGGCTCATGGGATCGGTGAAGCAGCAGACATCACTGATGTGTGAAGCACACTGAAATCAGGAAAACGTGGAGAAAGCCGGAAGTATTTTGGTGAAGTTGAAGCCATACGAATAAAGGTGGCGACAGATTCCCACATGAAATTGACATGAGCTAACCGCTTCTGATGACGTATAAAAAGTGGGTACTGTTTAACGATTTATTTGTGAACCTAGCATAAGAAAGATAACCGAAGTGCGAGTTAAAAGTGTGTCACTCGTCCTCACAATCAACAAAATATGTTCAGTCAATCATATGGTGTCATAACCATTGAATCGTTTGTCAGAGTCTAATCCATATCTGGCCAAAAACCATGGCGTTCGACGAGACGTGTAACTGGATAACCGTGACAGTTGACGATAAATACCAAAATCGACCGGAACATACGAAGATGCAGACTGATAGGTGAACCTCTCCAAAGAATCCCACGAAAATTGGTCTGGCGCATGCAAATAACTCGAAGGAGTTGACTGTTGCTCGAAGAGGTCGAACAACGTTGGAGGGGTGTCATATGCTTTTTGAGTTCCAGTCCGAGCCTGGCGAAATGTTCGACGCACTAGATCAGACAGGCTGGACCACCACTGGAGCCAAGGTAGTTCACGTGTAATAAATCGATAGGGCTTCGAGACGAAGGTTCTCACTGAACCAGTAGACCAGATTGCTTTGTCCTTGTTCTGCGTTTTCCTGGCAAACCGATTTGTCAACTTCTGGACTCGTTGTCCTATCTGCTCGTACTGATTGGCTAACATCTGTTTCCACCTTGTCTGCAGTTCTCCACGAGCATACCACGTGGTCAATTTTTCTTCAGTATGTTGAAGCATTACTATTTTCAATTTCTGCGACAATATGTAGACCAACAACATGCAACAGACTGACACGTGGTTCACCAGTAAATTGCCCAAGCAGCTCACAGAATCTCGCGTGTATCGATAGGAAACACAAGCCAGTGCATCTTTATGTTCGAGCAACCGGAGAGGACTGGAACTGTTGAATGCAGTGGACTGATTAGCTTGATTATTCGGTAGACATGGGAGGTTTCGGTAATAGGAGCTGTTGAAAACCATAATCAAACTGATGAAATCATGATCTGTCACGCATTCACCTCGGTCCACACAAGCATAGAGCGAATCCAAAGCGTTCATGTGGGCGTCGAGCCATTCGATACGGGCGATAAGGCTGACCACACATACGGCGAGTGCAGAGCATAAAAGTTGGACTGACACTCGTAACAGCTCCATCTTTGGTGCGATAGCTGACCTCACTCGGTCAATGGCATGGGTCCAATAGATTGAAAAACAGTAAACGTAAAGTGCCATGTCGTAGAAAAAAGTTAACCAAATAAAGAGCGGAAGCATTAACATGGTTTGAAAATAATGGCATACAAAAAGATCCGTCTTATACCATATCACAGTTAGTTGGCCAGCACGATAAGTACTGACGAGCTGCTGGCAAAGAGTGCAGCATAACAGATGGAAGGAGAATGACTTCCACAGTCTCTCAAACCTATCCTTCAGGCTGAACTTAGGCATGTTTCATAATGTGTGCATGAACCACGCGTCCGAAGACGCAGAGTAACGTGATTTATCGACCGCATTGATCTTCCGATTCAAAAAACCAATGATCCCTATCACCTGATAGGTGGGCATTCCTCTAAAGAAGAATCGCATAAAAGTAAAATCAGGCATCGAGCCTCGCTACAGGTTCCTCAGACAGTGGTGCGTTGCGCGGATGAAAGAAGTTCATCGGAGTGAAACCGAGCAGATGTGTCTCGATGCCCCTACTGCAAATCATCAATCAACCAATCAACTTATCAACTATAAGCCATGGACCATGGGTACAGTGGTTTCATCTGTCACAGTCTCGATCATCAGAAAATGGGAGAATGAGCGACAGACAGCCAAGCACTGGAGGCGATGGAATGTTCAGTTAGCTCGGGAACTGAGTAGCTACGCATTGAAGGCGATAGCTTTGATGTATGAGCGCCATTGACTGCGCAATTAAGCCATTTCTGAGTGTCATTAACCATTGGTGGGTCCGAGGGTCCCTATCCAGGCGACTCAGTTCACTGTTCAGTGTTTTGGTACTTCGTTACCGGTAGCTTCCACTCAGCACAGAGCGAAAAGAGCTGAGGCAGACGAAACTAATTCTCGGGTGGGCTATTATTTCTGGGAACCGACGTCAATTCTGTTTGCACACGGTCAACGAAATTCAGTCTTCCGCAGTTTCTTTCAGTAGTTTTTGCCAAGGTTGTGCTGAAACTCGTCACTTCATATAAAGTGAATACCCTAGTTATTCACCGACCTCGTGTGTAACTTTCAGTTCACTTTATCAGCGATAAACCATGCATCAAGGGTACGTTGGCTCCAGCTGCTACAGTTTTAGTCACTGAAAAGTGGGAGAGCATGAGTGATACAGCCAAGCACTGGAGGCGATGGAATGTTCAGTTAGCTCGGGAACTGAGTAGCTACGCATTGAAGGCGATAGCTTTGATGTATGAGCGCCATTGACTGCGCAATTAAGCCATTTCTGAGTGTCATTAACCATTGGTGGGTCCGAGGGTCCCTATCCAGGCGACTCAGTTCACTGTTCAGTGTTTTGGTACTTCGTTACCGGTAGCTTCCACTCAGCACAGAGCAAAAAGAGCTCTGCGAGGCAGACGGTCCACTGGCATGCGGATTAGATGTCCTAACAAGTGTAGCCTATACAGCGTGAGTAATTCATCTTTCGCGAGAGAGTTCCTCCTTCCCAGGACCATCTGGTGTACCTCAGCATTGTTAACCGGATGTACCCACCAGACCCGACCAAGGATACCGGTGCTCAAACAGTGACAAATTTCCTCTCATCTGCATATAGAGGCTACATATCTGATCCATAAACCAGTGTGGACCGCACTGCCACAGTGTCTGCCCTCGACAGATAAACTGACGTAACTTCGGTGCCATAGGTGTCGGAGGTTGGCAAAGGTTGCTCTGGCCCTCTCGATTCGGGAAGTAACCTGATCTCCAGCCACTACACCGGAACTTATAAAACTGCCCAGGTAAGCAAATTTATCTACCACATCGATTGACTGGTCTGTAAACATAAGGTTTGGATCTAATCCAACCCGGTGCTCTACCAGCACTTTAAACTTCGCAGGTGTGAAGCGCATGCCAAACCATGCGGTTATTTAAATGGCTCGGCGATTTTTTTAAAAAAAACTGAACCAAGGAGAGCAATATCGTCCGCATGCTCAAAGTTTGTGAGCAAAAACCCCAAGAGCACTTCGTCCCCCGGGGATTTCGGAGACAGGCACAGAAATCTCAAGCAACACATCATTAACAAAGTTGAAGAGGAAAGGAGAGAGGGTAGCCTTGTCGTACTCTAATCATCACCAGCATCATCATCACTGTCGACTGTAACATCTGCGTGCTTGTCGTACAGTGGTTCGTTCACCGATGATTCGGGGACGTGGTGAATTCAGATGAAAGCTTATCGTATACTTGTATCCATCCACAAGAGTTGGCATACACTGCCCTCAATGATGCTCATGCACCCAAGGTAATCCAGGTAGCGATCGGACCAGAAACCGTAAGCTGTTTTGGCTGTCAAATTGAGTTACGTAAAACTGGACTGCACTGAGGACCGAATGACAATCCTACAGTTCTATTTTATCCGGTCAGAGAATTTGGTTAAGTAACTGCCCTGAAGTTCGGTCAACTGATCTCTACTAGACGATTTAAACCGGCACTTCCGAGCTTGTTATGGCTTACCTACCAGTCGGCTGGCAAGCGGATTTGTGTGGAGGTAGAGTATTGGAAACGATCGGTTTCTTGGGTTCTGTTTGAAGCAAGCGACGTTACTGTCCTGATTTCACTCACTACTCAGCGACCTTATAAGTAGGATGCTGTGTCGAGAAAATATAGTCCGAATGGAGCATGCGGCGAATTTTGTGCAGCACGCTCAGTTAAGGAGTACCACCAACGACGGATTCAGCGGAGTCTCCAAGTGACTTCATAGTTCACGTGTAACTGTGGTAGTGCTGATCTCATGTAAATAACCATTGCTTGAAACGTAAATGTGCGTTTACTATTACACTCGAGAAAGCGTCTTACAGAGAGCAACAACACTCAGATAAAACCGACTGCTCAGAATAGTCGAGCAACACATCGACTGGATGAATGTATGGTTTATGCTGATCGAACAGCAACAGCCGAGCACAATAGTGTGTTTGTAGTTCGACGCTTTGATCGAGAATTTCGATGTGACCTTGTGCATAATCTTGCAAATGCTCTAAACACGTAATTGTGGCAATTCTGCTTTGTCTCCGCTAAAATCTCTCTCCAGCTACCGTTTCATAATACCACCGCGAGTAGAACGGTAAGCCAAGGACCACACCAGATACAGTATCAGTTCATATGAGCGTAACCAGCTAGTTGGTGGACTCAACGGAAAACTATAGCGCACACAATGCTTACCTTTCGTTCTACAGCAAAACTATAAGTGTAAATCCCGTCCAAATCGCTGAAGTTCATGTAGTTATTCAAATAGTCGTAACAGAACGTCACCAACTTGAAGACCTACAAAAAATACAAGGAATGTGTGAACCACTGCACTCCAACCTACGGGCACGAGTTTACTGAATGTTCGACCAAGTTATTACCAGTATTTCGAGGGTGCTTTCGTAACTTTCGAGTCAGTGCTGAAGAGTAAGGACAAAGTCTAGCGTTTAAGTTTTACTATTCAAAAAAGCAAACGCTTTTGTTCAGTCCCTCCAAGCGGTCTTTACGGAGCGGCGGGAGAAGCTGTGGGACAAATGTATGAGGTGACCCGAACATATAGCTTCATTCCGCAGCAGTCTCAGTCTAAATGAGTGAGCAAACTTACATATTTAGTTCCGAATAACATCAAGATTCTCCAACACTAGTTGTGCGTTATGCGCTCCAACCCACCTCCATGGAGACCCTTAGACAGCTACGGTATAATTCCAGAAACGGGTGGTATTGAAACTGAAAGCCTGACACCGCTGGGCTCATGTCGACGGAGTTCATGAGGGTTGTGGAACTACTTCAAGGGAAGTGACTCGAACACACCCTATTTCTTGATGTAGTTCTAGTAAGAGACAAAAAAGATAATCGTTCACCTGCAACACCTTTTGGTTACAAACTGCTATGACACCCAAAGGACGCATGAGGCTGCCAGGTTGCCCAAGCCTAGATAGGGGAAATCGGGTTCGAACCATGGGCCTTCCGGTCAGTAAATTCGCGCTCTAACCACTAATCCATCTCGCACCCCTCTCCAATACCTATCATTTCATGTGCGAATGTGTGTACCTTTCGGTCTGGAGACTTTCAGTAACGAACGTCGCTGAGGTACTGGAATGCAGCACAATAAACTCTTTCTGTGCTGAAGACGTACGTGGAAAAATGTGCAAACTTCAGCAGTGTTTTCGGGGAAGCAAATTCAGGTCTACATCGCTCTGCTAGCGGTGGCCTTCCTATGGTAATTTTTGTGGACGATAAAAAGAACATCTTACAAGGAAGAGTTCAAATATTACTGCACTAGCACCAGTATGCCTCTGTGCTATCGTCGAAAATGAGGTTTATACGATGAAATTTGACTGTAGGGTAGGCAAACAGCATTCTCGCGAGAAGCTTTCTTGGGACAGAGAGCAGGGAGAGATTTCAGTAGTCAATGTGCGAATTTACTGACCGGAAGATTCCTGGTTAGAACCCAAACTCTACATCTCGACAGCTTCTATCTGGACTTGGGCAACCTGACAACAGTATCCCAGCCCTCGTGCTTCCTTCAGATGGCACCTAAATGGTTCTACAGTCAAGGATTGTTGAAACGTTCGCCGTTATTGGCGCCTTTGAATTACATTCTAGTGTAAATCCGACAGGATTGTCTTACCAGTCTTCAAAGAGAGAAATGGCTCTTGTTGCGTGGTCATACGGACAATGGATGAGAAAGGTTTGGAGCTGGACGGCCCACATATTCCGTCCTAATAAAAACTTGGCATCTCTCCTGGGTCACTGTTTGCAACACTGTCCAGTAACTAAAAATGACTATCCTGAATTGACAGGCTCTTAGTTCAAATGCTCTTTGAAGGTGGGATGTCATTGGTAAAAAAAACGCTCTATACTTATCATGATTCTGCAAAACTGTGTGTCAAATTGGAGTGCTGAAAACTTACTTCAGTCGCGCATGCCGCAGCGATCACGGCGTTCGTGGAGGCCACTGCTGGGATAATGCGCTTCACAACTCCCTGAACAAGACGAAGCGTTATGCCTTGTATACCAAACTGCAGCGCGCGCTTGAGAGACTGGTCATAAATCCACTGAATGTGTTCCGGAGAATCACCGTCAATCGAAACGTTTTCTAGGGTCACACAGAAATGAGATATCCGATTAGGATGCCGAATGTGTTTGTGTGTATGTGGGGTCAACTCTGAAGGTTAACGAGCATTAAACAGGACGAAATCTATGGAACCACAGTTACAAAGATGAAGATGATTTCAAGTCCCTGAGATTGTAAAGCACGCTAAATAAGGACTTTCTGTGGTTGAAACATCACTGGCCATATGTCAACTGGTCCAGTGTTTTTAAAATAGATGGATACAGTTTGCACCTTCGTGAAATGATAATAATATATAATTATCCAGTTGTAACACTGTTTCAGTGACTAGCTGCAATGCCATCAGAAAGAAACACGAAGAGTGAGATACTTCCAGGTTTCCCAAACCTACAGACAGACAGCCCCGATGAAGAGGTTGGGTTCGAAGCACGAACCGGAGGGTTCGTGAGGAACAGTGTGAACCCGTTATGCATGTATGTTTCTAAAGCTCAAATACCTAGGTCTCATGGGTACAGAAGCGATCAACCAAAAGATCACCATGCGCAAAGGTCTTGATTGACCTTCCATGGAGAAGGTTTCCCTTCAGAGGAGATGCATGTTAGCTCGTGACTGACTAGGAACGCTGTCCTGGATGCTCCCAGGGAAGGTTAAAAGGGGCTACTACAAAAAATTGATGAACACTTTAACCTGGTGACCCCTTTTGGAGACAGCTCATCTGCAGAGTTTGTTTCATACATAAGAACGTTTTAACTGATAAGTGAGTTAGCATTAGGCCCTATTGTTCTCCTATTTGGTACTTTGCTCCGTGTAACATTTACCAAAGAATCAGCACACCAGCAATGGGATCGCATTCTTCATGAGAGAGTACCATTAATTCCCAGCAAGACAATCTCGCGGCCAAACGGCAACAGCCTCAGAAAGAGTTGCTAAGTCATTGGAATAAAAGCTGCTCACCTCCAAAAGGATTTTCTTTAGACCACTGGAGTAGACGCACATATTCTACGCAGTGTTCCGGCAGTCGCGGTGTGTGAGCAATGGTGCACAGTGGGAAGTTTACCTGCGGTGGATACAGATCCAGAGTACATTCCAAACACCCGGTCAAACCATAAAGCACTACCAAGACATGACCTTTGAAGCCTTCTGTTCCCCCATCCACAAGGGGAATCACTGTGTTGGGGTCTGGTGTCCCATCTTCGGTGTACACGACCATACTAGCCTGTGAAAGAATTGGAAGTCATCTTATACACGGTGGAAAAATGAGTATTGCTTTTAGCAGTTCATACAGTCGTTTAATATCTACTGAGACGAGTGAAGAATTCACTCGAGAACAGAAGCAGAAAAACAAGCCACTGAAATTAGCCTTAAATGACGCCCAAACTCTGTAGCAAAACAATAGCAGACGTTGTCTGTATCGTTCATCATCTTAGGCTCATAATTTATTCTTTGTGGAGGGACTGGATATGACTTCCAAGACTGTGTCGTCCTTGAGCTATGAAGATGTATAATGACAGTTGTGGTGTCGGGCAAACCAACTTAAGTTAACACCCGAGGTTAGACAAACATCCTCCCAATCTGGAAGATTGAGAAAGGGAACGTGTGTTGGATTTTCCTCTAAAAGCTGAACTGTTATGGTACTTTGTTGTTCAGTAGCGGTGTCTTGTGCTGAAGTGTTTAGGCCACCTTCCGTCATATTGTATGGTTCGGGCAGCTGATGCTGTCTACACGAGCACTGTCATTGGTGAAGAGTAACCACGAAAGAGGAAACCATGGCAGCCTGAAATCGATCAAAATTTGGGAAGGAATATTTTGCGGCAGATTGAAACCCCTTTGTTCCAATGCAAAAAAGGAAAGAAATTCAGAGAAGATGGTAGGCCATGAAAGAGCAAAAAATGAACCGAACACAAACTAGGGACTTTGGTCCATTCGTATTACACCAGAAAACATCTATCATGTGCAGTTATAGCTTGGACAGCAATTCCCCTCCACTAAAAATTCGTCCAGCTGTAACCTCCTTTCGGTGCCCAGCTGCCATGCCACCCGAAGGAAGCACAGGGGCTGGGATACTGCCAGGTTGTCCTTGCCTAGACAGAAGTCGAGATATAGGGGTACTCTCCGCAAGGGAATGCCTTAGGATGATTCTGAAGTATCTCCGAAGTATTTCTTCGAGAGGAGGCGAACTACCTTAAGCTCTACTACCTGGAAGGCTACTGTTCCAACTTTTGTAGACTGTGGTAAGGGGAATGAGGAAGTGAGCGCCAAAGTCACGCAAGCGTGGCAAACATGGAGAATATCCATGGTTCCTCTCACCGAATTGAGAATCCTGAGATGCCTGACCTCTAGGGATGCCGTTTTCCAATCTAACAAACACCATTGTTTCTCGTATGAATCGGAAAAGGCCTAAGGAGGGGTTTTTTATCTTCGGTCGCGGAATGAGGGCCATCAACAATGTTACTTTGTATGGGGTAAGTCTCGTGTTGCTCCTCTGAAGGCCGTCACGATTCCTCGTTTGGAGCTTACGGCTGCCCTGCTGTCTGCAAGAGTGACAACGCAACCGAGAGGAGAGCTGCCCATGCCGATTATATCGATCACGTTTTGGACAAACTCGATGATTGTCCTCCAGAAACTCCGGACAACAACTACGCGTTTCCAGAGTCTTGTCGCAAACTGCAAGACGGCTACTAATAGATGTGCATCAGTGTAGGTAAGTTAACAGTAAAAACAACCCAGCAGATATCGCACCACGAAGTGTGTATCTAGAAGACCTAGGACGCAGTTTGTGGATCCAAGGTCCGATCTTTTTGCTAGACGGAGATTCGTTATGACCAGCATAACCAAGTCTACAAGCTCTGCCTTCTTCAGAAATAAAGAAAGCCCACAATCGCACGGTTGCCTATGTACAGTTGACCGCCCCTTGATCGGATAAGCTTAATCACTACGAACAAGCCCTTGTGTCCATTGCGTGGCTCAGGCGATTTCACACTCTGACAGGAAAACGAACTAACTCCATGACCGACCTTAATTGTCATTTGACTCAGTAAGAGATACTGGAATCATCAATCCATGTCTTAAAGTTAGTTCAGGAGACCGCATTTCCAGACGAACTCCGCATACTGGGCAGGAAACCCAACAGTGGCAAGCTTACATTGGTCTCGTCCATCTGTCCGAGTTGAATCTCTTTTACGATTAGGTATACTTCGCGTAGGAGGCCACCTTCGATGGGCTGCTTTACCTTTCGAGACTAAGCACCCTATCATACTTCCAAGGAGACACTTCATAACCACGCTTATCATAAAACATTACCATGAAAGATATGAAGATGTGGGCTTTGGACAAGTGCTGGCAGCTGTGCACGACAGATACTGGGGTGTACAGGGGAAGCCGCTGTCAGGTGCGTCCTTTTGATCTGTTATCACAACCGTCGATGGTTTCCAACGCCGTGCTGCCAAATGATGCCCTCATTCCAAATGAACGAACCAATTGCATAGACCATTCGTATTCATCAGGATGGACTAGTTCGGGCCGCTGTTGGTCAAACGAGGATGTAGCACCGAAAAACGATATGGCCGTGTATTCACTTGCGTGACCATATGTTCTGTGCACATCGAGGTAACCCAAACAGCGGACAACACTTCGTTCCTATGCGCCTTCTCGAGATTTGTCGCCAGAGGAGGCAACCCAGTAAAGCTTTATAGTGACAGCGGGATCGACTTCAAGGGGGCCGAAGCTGACGTGAAGGAATGCCTTCGTGAACGGGACCGGAATAAGCTGGCGACCAAGCTGCTAGAGCACGAGTACGACTGGGTTTTCTCCAAGATTTTGGAGGTGGTATTTTGGGGGCCGATTCCGAATGTTAAACAAATTTTGCGGGCCTTATTAGCATATAGACTGGCAGATGACCAGAAGCAGCAGACAATCTTGGCTGAGATCGAAATAAAATCCTCAACGGCCGACCGTTTGTAAAACTGACTTCGGACCCCAATGCAGCTATTATGTCTGCCAACTTGTTGTTCCTGAGCGTAAATCCTTCAACGGCCGTTCATCTTGTCGACTTACGGAATCTAACTAAATCCTGGAGACAAGCCAACCACCTAGCCGACTTATTCTGGAATTAGTGGATGAAGCAGTGTCTCTCAACCTTGCAGACGATGTCAAAGTGGCTTTAACAACGAAGGAGCCTGAATGAAGGCGGCCTCGTTTTATTAGGAGATATCTCGACACCCATGGGGCAGTTGGAGAAGGGCATCGTCAAGCGATACGGCAGTGAAGCATCGGTGCTGAACACTGATGCCATGCTGTCGATGATGATGATGATGACTGTCGGAAGGGCAGTTCAGTCGACCGATGGAGCAGTTACGGAGGTATTGTAGGATCCAGTCCGAGGGCACTACGTCGAGGCGTACCGCAACTCTACTTACTGGAGGCCTCCGGCCAAGATGGCGTGAACTTCGAAAAGCAGAGAGATAGAGTGGCTGACCAGTCTACTGGCTCAATCTCTACATGGTCCAAGTGGTTAGAGCGCAAATTTACTGACCGGAAGGTCCGGGGTTTGAACCCGACCTCTGCCTCTCGACTTCTTCTGTCTAGGCTTGGGCAACCTGGTAGTATCCCAGCCCTCGTGCAACCTTCGGGTGGCATGGCAGCTAGGCACCAAAAGGGTGCTACAACTGAACGGTTTTTTTCACATAACCTTATAGCTGGTGAAGGTTGATTCCCGCTGTGAGTCAACGGTAATCAGAGGTTATTTTTCTTTTGTGTTCTAACTATTCATGAGCAGCATGATTGACGTCCGCCTACTATAATACCATGTCGTTTTCCTTGCTGCTCGTTTTCCTGGTTTATGCTCTTACTTAAGGTCTGCTTATGCTATAGTAAGTGATGTCAATATTTTGTCGCCTGTCCGTTTTCGCTTGTGAGTTCGTGTCAGCTCTACTTATTTTCGAGTGTCCGCTCCGACGGAAGAACGAGTCACCCGGGGATCGAGCTCTAAGCTCCACAGACAGTACGCGAGCGTGTCGTCCACTACACCGACTCGGCGCCCCCAGAGACCATATTTCGGTATCACGTTTATACCGCATCCGCTAGATAACCTTTGTTGGGATTCGTTTTAAAGGGACCCAAGCGCGCAATCTGATTTGGCCGCTGTGTAGCGCCGTCAGGCAAAGGCATTTCCTTACCCCCAGAACGTACTGATTGTTTTCTGCGCTCTTACCTATCCATTCGGCCAATCTACATTGACTGACTGCCCGTACCTGTATGTTTGTATATCATTTAGCACTTACTTGCTACTGCTTCCAGAAAGGCCCGCCATCTCACTGAACGTTTTTCTGCTCCTGTCGAATGTGCTATTATGGATTCCACGTTTGCTTAATTCACGGTGTTTATTAACCTGTTTATCCATTTAACCAGTTCTTAACAGCTCTCAATACAGAACCTACTGGCGTCGTCCGCCTGCTCCTATTGCATGCTGGATACGAACTGCGTATAGTCAAACAGCCGCAATCGTCCTGAGATCCTCAACTGCCTGGCTCACAGATGCAAGAATACTGAGGTTTCCATAGGCTGTGATAAAATTCCCATAAGAATTAGGAGTATCAGGTTGAGCCAAGGTAAGCCTCCAAGGCCAACCATCACCCACTGAAGGGGCACTGGTATTTGAATGGTGAACCTGTTTTACTTGATATCCCAAGTTATTAATCTAGACTCATGAACCCATACCTGTATTTTGACAACACACTTCGAAGAAGTACTAGTGGGTAAACACCAATCATGCTTGAAACCGAGCCAATCTTCCTCAAGATTGTTGGAGATGACCTACTGACAGGAAAGTCCGTGGTTCGAACTCGACCTCTGCATCTGAACTTTCCCTGTCTAGGACTGAGCAACCTGGAAGTATCTCAGACCTCGTGCTTCCTCCGGGTGTTATGGCAGCTAGGCACCTAAAGGGTGTTACAGCAGAAGGAGAATGCTTCCCTGAACGAGTATTAGTGAGGCAGAAACCCAGTTTCCGCGCATGCGTATCCACAGGCCTTTGCGATTTTTTTTAACTTGGTGCTTGTAAGCTGAGACGCACGAACATGCCATTCAATGCCTAAACTAACATAGGGCTTTAAAGCTTCTTTATTAGGGCGGCGCGACAAACAAGACCTACGCATAATCATTCCGAGTAAAAGAACAGGGGATGCTATCATCACAGTCGGCGGTCAGTCAACAGGTGAGAAAATGCGAAAGAATGAAGCCTAAAAAAGGTGTATGTCCTCGCTTCGGACTTCAAAGTTAAGGAGACTTGAAGGAAAACAGATGGTTCATTAATATGACATTGTAAGGCAGTTGCCAATAACCAGGTCCCGGATACACAATGAGCTCCCTACGATGGATGGAGTCATGCACTGTTGCAGAAAAGGGGCTCATCAGAACACCCAGGGGGCCATCATACGCGAAAACACATACAGGAAATTGAATATGCGGAGCTGTAGCTGATTCACCTATGTCTGTGAGAGGAATACTGTGAGCGCGGACCTGCTTTATCAGACGACGGAAGAGTTCATATATGATGCATTCACTTCACAGGCGTGAGCAGTTAACTCATAAGAACCAACATCTGTCAAGAACTCTACGGTCGCCTGTTATGCGCGAAGGCAAACGAAGCATCCGCCAGCAAATTTACTGAGTGGAATGGATTTGAACCATTATGTTATGTCTTGGAACCCTTAATGTGTACAGCAACAGCAGAATATTATGAAAGATCCGGATGAACTTAAGCTAAATCCCCAGTCAAAATCAGCCTAAGTTACAAACAGGTGCTTATCACACAGTTAGGCGTTCAAGCGTTCAAAATAAGCTTACTGTGATTTTGGGAACTAGGCACGCCTGAAAAGTCCAAAGAAGATTGAGACCGGCACCGAATTCCTCAGAGTTCCCCGAAAGGCGCCAAACGAAAATCTAATGCTTTAAACACAGAGCAACACTTTCCTCTGATTACAAAGCAGATGTATAAGTAAATATGTAGCAAGAAAAAAGTTTGGAACATTCACTTCTGACATTCTTAGACCAATGGAAACGCACTGACTGCTATCGGGTATATATCCAACAAAGGTCCTTAACAAGCGGTTCGAGTGTACGGGTGTTAGTACGATGGTTGGGAAACGACACAATTGACGCTTACCAACATGGCATTTATCCATCTTCTGGCCACTACCGAGTCTAAGCCGCAAACAACGACGTTGAACTGACGGTAGAATTCCTCACCGAAATCCTGGATCTGTTTGTGATGTGGAGTAACTTTGCAAGACGGCACGCGACGCATAATATACTCAGACGCGACTTCAGCCTTTGGTCTTCCTATATCACTCGATCGAAATAGAAACTGGCGATTGAGGTTGGAGAGATCGATTGTATCCATATCGATCACATCGATCTGAGTGAAACCCATCAGAGCCTAGGTCAATAGTGTATTAAAACGGGGAAAAGGGAACCTACCAAGTCTTTGAGCAACTCACAACCGAGACCACCAGCTCCAATCACCAGGAGTCTCACGTGCTCTTGAACCATTTTAAGTAACTGGAAATGTTATTATGGGGATGGCAGGAAAACCCACTTCGGCTGATGGCTCAAACTCAGCACGCTGAAAGGGCCCTTCTCTTTCAAGTATACACCGCACACTTCGCCACTTTTGCATCCAGTTTATTCCAGTCATTCAAAGACCTTTTGAAGGACGGCAACAGTGGCTGCTGCTGTGCAAAGCACCGGAGAAGTCTGAGAGAAATGTTTAATGAAAACATAGAATCATGGAGGATAATCATTGAAGATGATACGCTGAACGCTAACTAAACACCAATAGAACAAGGAAGTTGAGGTTGTTTGTCTGACGATGCCTATCCACAACCTGGAGAGTGGCGCCTTCATGGATAACAGTTTCGTGAGGCACCTTGAGCGGTATCAACAGCGCCTGTTTGAAGGTCCGAAGTTTCGGTCGTCACAGAAAACAAATCGTTCAGCTGTGACATCTTCTGACGCACAGTCAAAGGAAGCATGAGGCTTAAGGTACTGTTGCTCAGACTTCGCATAATTACCTAGTGCTCGCTTGCGCACCACTTAATTACGGAGACGTTGCGGCAAGCTAAAGCCTTCATACTGAGCAGACATTAGTGGTTCAACATCTAAAGACGAATGAGATGTTCGAAATGGAGGGGTAAAGTAAGACAGGTCTCACGGTTATTTTGTACACACACTGTCTTAACCACAGTGAAGCTTGCTGCCGACATCGAAAAAAATCGTTAAGCTGTAGCATCCTTTCGATTCTTAACTGCCATGCCACCCGAAGGTTGCACGAGGGCTGGGACACTGCCAGGTCGCCCAAGCCTAGACAGGAAAAGTCGAGAGGCAGAGGTCGGGTTCGAACCACGGACCTTCCGGCGAGTAAATTCGCACTCTGACCACATGGGTCATCTCGCCCGACACCGAAAACGACACAAACTAACGAATACTACTCGCGTTTTGATGGTAACTATACTTAGCTTCAATAGCTTAACGATATGCGATTTAGCCGTTACGGTAGGTAAAGAAGTTTTTAAAAAACAAAGTCCTCATTAAACAATGTCGGAACAAAGGATTATAAATCCCGCAGCGAGAACATGCAATGCGCTTGCCGAGGCTTCCTATTAGGATAAGGTTAACCGGACATGTCATTGTCAAATAATAAAACATAATTCAAGTCCATTAATGTTTCGCTAGATGTGATTCCGATAGTGTACTCCGTTAAGAAGTCAATCGCTAAACCGAACCAAAACGAGACAGAGTATCTATGGCGAATCAGTTTTCGGGAGCCCACCTGCTAGCTCACTCTAGACACTAAGATTATCAGGAGTATGAGAATAAATGGTGTCAAGATAATGAGAAACTTCCAGGGAATTGCCTCTTGACTACACATATGTAGAGTGACTGATCTATCTACGATGCCGAAGCCTCCTTTGGGGATGGGGCGATTTGGGCGCCATTGCTTTTGGTTTATCGGTTCACTGTTCACTGCATTCGGCTATTTACGTAGCGCCTGCACTCATTTGTGTTATATTTACATAACCCTATCCACGTTATGATGAATTAGGGAATGAGACCCGGAATCATGGAGGATAATCATTGAAGATGATACGCTGAACGCTAACTAAACACCAATAGAACAAGGAAGTTGAGGTTGTTTGTCTGACGATGCCTATCCACAACCTGGAGAGTGGCGCCTTCATGGATAACAGTTTCGTGAGGCACCTTGAGCGGTATCAACAGCGCCTGTTTGAAGGTCCGAAGTTTCGGTCGTCACAGAAAACAAATCGTTCAGCTGTGACATCTTCTGACGCACAGTCAAAGGAAGCATGAGGCTTAAGGTACTGTTGCTCAGACTTCGCATAATTACCTAGTGCTCGCTTGCGCACCACTTAATTACGGAGACGTTGCGGCAAGCTAAAGCCTTCATACTGAGCAGACATTAGTGGTTCAACATCTAAAGACGAATGAGATGTTCGAAATGGAGGGGTAAAGTAAGACAGGTCTCACGGTTATTTTGTACACACACTGTCTTAACCACAGTGAAGCTTGCTGCCGACATCGAAAAAAATCGTTAAGCTGTAGCATCCTTTCGATTCTTAACTGCCATGCCACCCGAAGGTTGCACGAGGGCTGGGACACTGCCAGGTCGCCCAAGCCTAGACAGGAAAAGTCGAGAGGCAGAGGTCGGGTTCGAACCACGGACCTTCCGGCGAGTAAATTCGCACTCTGACCACATGGGTCATCTCGCCCGACACCGAAAACGACACAAACTAACGAATACTACTCGCGTTTTGATGGTAACTATACTTAGCTTCAATAGCTTAACGATATGCGATTTAGCCGTTACGGTAGGTAAAGAAGTTTTTAAAAAACAAAGTCCTCATTAAACAATGTCGGAACAAAGGATTATAAATCCCGCAGCGAGAACATGCAATGCGCTTGCCGAGGCTTCCTATTAGGATAAGGTTAACCGGACATGTCATTGTCAAATAATAAAACATAATTCAAGTCCATTAATGTTTCGCTAGATGTGATTCCGATAGTGTACTCCGTTAAGAAGTCAATCGCTAAACCGAACCAAAACGAGACAGAGTATCTATGGCGAATCAGTTTTCGGGAGCCCACCTGCTAGCTCACTCTAGACACTAAGATTATCAGGAGTATGAGAATAAATGGTGTCAAGATAATGAGAAACTTCCAGGGAATTGCCTCTTGACTACACATATGTAGAGTGACTGATCTATCTACGATGCCGAAGCCTCCTTTGGGGATGGGGCGATTTGGGCGCCATTGCTTTTGGTTTATCGGTTCACTGTTCACTGCATTCGGCTATTTACGTAGCGCCTGCACTCATAACCCTATCCACGTTATGATGAATTAGGGAAGTGAGACCCGGCATGATGGTCGGAATTGAGTTCTACAGTGACTCCGTCGGCGATGTTAACTGGGACACTGTTTCCCCAGGGGAACAGTTGCTATCAGGAATCGTAGTACCAGGCGGTCCGGAGGTCAGGTCGACAGATGTGAATGTAATAAGGTCTTCTTTCCAAAGACCACGAAGGGTACTGGTATCTTCCGAGGAATAGTTGCAGAAAATTAGCTGCCCAAAAACCTACACACTGATCACCTAACGGGTGACCGTTCTATCATCTAAAACAGTCGTGATACTAAAAATCCGATCTGCACAGCAACGCTAGGAGTGGAGCCTTGTACCTGGAGCCCATGGACATGGCAAGCCTTTTAAAGGATCAGGCTTTTAGGTTGATGGTTGCAAGATAAGTCTCCGAAAAACCTAGCACCCCTGTATTGCGGACAATATCGTCGAATCAAGGGTTGGGAATATGATAAGAAACAATCTCGATAGTGTTGGTTGGGCCTCTAAATCAGAGGTGAGGTGGGAACCCTCAGGCCAATCCCCTTCTTCGGCTTCGACATTCGGAAGGCTCCGTTCACCATCGCAGCAGTGGCGAAATTGAATTCCACCTTTTCTTTCATAAGCTCTTCATCATACATCATATTGCTCTTGTAAGTATAGCACCAAGAACTTCGGCTATCAGCCCAGAATCAATAAAGGCTCTGTTTAAGTAAAATGACCTGTTCCACATCTTAGCATTCAATGTCCTTACATTGTCGGATTCATCAGCAGTCTGCCATAGCTCACATTCCATCTTTCTTGGAAAGCGATATGTACCTTATCATCAGTGAAAGCAAGTCTAGCGAAAGACATTGATGCTTCACAGGCATACACCATACTCAGAACACGCGCCTACATGACCACGAAATAATGACGCGTTTGCAGATAGCTCATATGAACTCGAGGTATGCATGCCTTGTTTCCAAGACTGAGTCTCTTCGTTTCCATTGTGGGTGAATCAACATGGGCATCACCGGACGGGATGCCTCAACGAACCGCTTTATGGATGTCGGCAAACAGTTCCATTATAACATCAAAATGCACAGTTCTACTCCAAAAAATACAACCAACCGGATGAAATTGGAATTAGGCACTATATACATTTGTTTTGGCAATGTACTTGGATCACTGGAGACAAGGTGATTGATAGAACAGGATAAGACCATTCAGTTTCTTTAACATATTCCCTTCCGGCGCATGCATGATGGCAAACTTTGTAGAAGGAAAGCCTTGGAAAATGCCACGGTACAGTCCGTTCTCGACCAACCGAAAGCTGTCAGCTTGCCGCGGTGACTAAGCGTGAATGTTATAATGATCCCGCAGGCTAAATCGACTGAAACACCGTTCCCCAGGATAATATCATGCCAGGAGGGCCAAACGGGAGCAGCCTGTCGAAAAGTATCGAGTCCCCGTACGACGAACTAATGCAATGCGGGATGGTCGGATTTTAAGTCGCACTGCCCTCTGAGTTAATAACGTGAGAGCCACAAAGTTCCTCTTCCAGGCAATTAGCATATTCGCATTTGTGGGAGCAGCGACGCTGCCTTCCAACGGTGGAGGGCAGATTAGAAAAAGTCGGGTTAAAAACCTCATACATCAATCGTCTAAATATTGACCGTGACTACCGACAAATTATCTAACAAGACCAAAAACACTGAAAACTGAGAACAACCCCATGTGAGATAAGATAAAGATAACCATTCAGCTGTAGCATCCTTTTGGTGTCTAGCTTCCATGTCAACCGAAGGAAGTACGAAGACTGGAATACTACCAGGTTGCCCAAGCCCACACAGGGGAAGTCGAGATGCAGAGGTCGAGTTCGAACCACGGTCCTTCCGGTCGGCAAATTCGCGCGCTCCAGTTTGGACTTGCTCCTTAAAAACTTTGGCTGCCCTGACGCCATTCATTGCTGCCTTGCGTTTGGGCCTTGGGGTCAACGGTTTTAATAATCCTAATTGTACTCCTGTTTAAGGTGTGACCCCCTGGCATCATTCCAGCCCACCTACAACCATGAATTACACAATTATAAAAGTATCATGCCACCCAGACCATTGCACGGTGCCATCATCCGGGTCGTTTTATTTGCTGTATACAGCAAGGCGGATAAGCGAAAATAGGCCAACATCTCTCTTCCTATTACACATACTCGCTCTTCTTCTCCTCCAACTGTTTCTAGTGATATCTTCGTAGACCTATTTTTAAGAAGTGTCAGATATGTTCACCTCTCATTGGACCTGGTTGCA